ACCAAAACAGACTCAAGAAGAAGTCCACCAGGTAACTTGCATTGCTCGTTTGGTTCAAGAACAAAACTTGAGTTCTGATTGTTTTTCTTTAATCTCACATTGCCCACTAAACATATTTTGTGTCTTGCAGGGATTGTTACAGGCTTTTTGCTATGTAATATGACAGGACAGGAGTGAGTATCGTTCCTTTGAACTTGGACAACATGTTGGAGGATCATTGCAAACTGCTTAGAATGTAGCTTGCGAAGGAACTTTGGGCCATCTTGGTCAAATAACTGCCCATAAAGCCGCAAAAGCACATTTGTCCCTATCAACAATGGGATTTTACTGTTAAAGTGGCATTCAGGAACAACAAGAGCCAAAACAACCAGTTGCTGCTCTCTGCCTGCAATGTTCTTGGGAAATGTGATGGGTGTCTGAATGTAGCCCAGGTAAGGGACGTTCTGCCCTCCTGCTCCCTCAATTTCAAGAAGAGCATGTATTGGCTGGATGGGCAGGTGGGAAAGGTGCGCTTTGTGAAAAGACTCGGAAATTGTTGTAACTTGTGAGCCCGAGTCCATTATGGATTCACAAGGTAAGCCATCAACAATCACTGAAGCGGCACAGCGTGGGCCTATGAGACCAGGAGGCAAAAAGGCGTTAAGATAAAGGCCTTCTGTGGGTTCCACGGGTTCTGTAATTTGCATTTCAGTGTTGTGATTCGGTGTCTCGGGACTAAAGGAATCAGAGGTTTCAGCACCTGGATGTCCCACGACAGGAGCTGCCACTAGTTTAAAGTAAAAGGAGAAGTGACCTGTCTTGCCGCGAAGTCAGCTTGTTTCCTTTTCAACTCGGCATTCTTTTCAGAAACAAGTGTGGGATTTGGATCTTTTGAGCAACTAGCAGCAATATGATTGTCTTCTCCACACCTAAAACAGAACCATGCCCGGGGTGTGCCAGGGACTCTAGAACCAGCCCGCGGGTGCCTAGTGTTAGCAGTTGATGACTCTTTGGGTTCGTGTTTCTCTGTTTTGGTTGAATATCTTTGGTTTTGGACAAGCATTTGGACTTGTTTGGTTAACTCAGCTACTTGACTTTCAAGCTTAGTAGTTTCATCGGCAATCGGTTTCACTATTTTTGGCTTTGTAGTCACGGGGGAGTCAGTAATTGAGGTGGTGTTCTTTGGCCTTTGAGTTAACTTTTCCATTTGTTTTGTGAGTTCATTAACTTTTTGTTCAAGTGTTGCTGTTTCATTGTCTGTTGAATTTGGTGATGCAGTGACCCCTAAAGGTTTAACAACTTCAGATGCAGGGGAGAGTAAGCTCTCAAGTATTTTCCTCACCTTGAGTGCATCAGTCAACGAAGGGTCACTGAAAAGAAGATCGACTTGGGTGCGCCATGTCTCATAATCAACCTCACCGTTAGGTCGTGGGAGTCGGCCTGAGAAAGTACGTATCTTTGTATGGGCAAGGGGTGTGTGAGTTTGCTCATTGCGGATTATGTGCTCGACCACTACTTTCTGAATACATGGAGGGTTGTAGAGGCTACCGTCTACCGGTACTGAGCCTGCAAAAGTGTCAGTCTGTGCCCAACCAGTGCCTGTAGGCTCTACAGGTTCACTTAAGTCAGTATTGGGAATGTCATCAGTGGTCGTATTAACGTTTTGGTCAACAGGTAGGTTAGACTCAGTCTGGGGTGTAAGGGTGGCCGGTAACTCACTTTGAAAAAATCTGAAGAAGGCTGCTTTCCCACTACTCCCCATAACCTCAAGTTCTTTTAGGTAACGACGGGCTATTTCTTTGCCAAACTCTTCCTGGGTAATGTCTCTGATAGTTTTGGAAAACCATTTTACTGTTGGGTCTTCGAGTTTGACAAGCTCCCCTAGAGTTGAAGGATCTACTTTTAAGATGGCCTGTTCAGACTCATACACTATAAGTGTTCGACCTTGGGGCTGATGTGGCTCATTGGGGATCCTAATGATATTTGAGATTTCACCATTTACCCCAAAAACATCTGATATGTCATCATCACTAAAGCTTCTTCCAATACCTGTAACATACAGAGTTTTCTGACTGTCAGCTCTAAAACGTTCACAAAGATCCATCTCCATTTTAAAATCTATATCGTGTCAGTGTGTCGTATGGGTTGGAGGAAAAAAAAAATATATATATACTGTGCCAATCTCCTGGCTGGCTCGCCACTAAGTGTAACCCTTCTTAACTGAGTAGTAGGAAAATCCAGGAATCTGCGAATCTACTTATCCAAAAAGTTTCAAAAATACATTCAAACCTACTCAATATGGGTTCTATAGGATCGCAAGGAGACTGGCAGTAATGACTCAATCATGAGCGTAAAAAACCCTCCAACCGCAATTGACACACGGACAACAACATAAGAATGAAATGTTCTATTCAAATGATGAACAAGTAAATCTCCTCAAAAATAAACATGGGCATGAACAAAAAAAAACATGTGTGAATCTCTTTAAATTTGTTCTGTTCACCTCCCAAAATGTTTCAATACTGTCCCTTTAAGTGTCCAAAATGCACAGAATCACTGTCCGTCTCAGCTGAGTGCACGATATACTCACAAGTTGGTTGGTATTTGAAAAGTCAATTGTCAGTTTTTTTGTATGGTGTCAGGCCTGACCCAAAAAAAAAGTAGCAACAAAACAAACAAAATTGAATCATTTGAAAACTGTAGAAATGTCTGAAAGAGCTGAAGTCCTATTAAAATGCATGGGCCTATTAAAATGCATTGCAGAATTCTCAATGCAGATTTTTGTCCGATTGCGGAAAAACCGGAAATCGCTGAAGTCCCAAAAGTAATAGCAATAATCTCCCAAACATGTGGAACGTTTTGATGTATAACTTGTGGAAATTGTTGAAAATGTGAAAGCTGTGAAACGTGTCAAAAAAAATGACGGAATAAAGAAATACAAAACCAATGGTTGACTGCGGAAAGTTCCGCAGTCAATCAATTAGATCCCAATAAGTCCGTGAATGTGGATTTTTATACATCAAGACAAGGCTCTAGACCTGCCCCTGGAGAACACCTTCATAGAGACAACTTTTATTACGTTCTTTCAGTGGGGGCTTCAGGCAAAGTGGGGTTAAGTGTCTTGCCCAAGGACACAACGCCTGCAGACATCAGTGGGAGTACATGGAAAAGTTCTTGTGGTGTTAGTCTGACTTGTATCTATACTTTTACTCAAGTACCTCAATCTTATACTTTTGCCACCTCTGGAGAATATTTGAAAAGTAAGTATCTCTAAAGAACAAACGCAAGAAAATAAAAAAGGTTAGCGGCTGGAGCTTATAGGAGTCGACACGAGTGACACAATTGCTGTATTCTTCAAAAAATTTATTGAACAATTGTATTTAAATTCTCATCTTTGTCGGCGATACAGTACCATAGTTGATCATCTCATAGACGCACCTTTGATTATATACATACAGTGGAGACAAGAATTAAATAACAACGCTCAATAACATTCATATATATATATAAAAGCTGAGACCACCATCAACAATCTGCTCAGTAGACACATGTACGAACAGAATCTAATGTTTTTTATCTTTTATCAATACAACCCTCGTGACAGTGTATGTTGTTATTAACAGTGAAAGCCAGGTTGCCATAATAAATATATTGTAGTTCAGCACCCAGATTTGTGACGGGTGATGTAAAGTAGAGGCAACATTTATCCACGGCAGCATCCCAATTTAAAAATACCTTCTTCCTTATCGTTCCCAGTCTTCTCATTTTTATTGACTTGTTTGACTGTGGCATAGATCGACAAGGTGTTATTGGCCTAGTGATCGATTTTACAAGTCAGAACAAAAACATTTCTCCAGGACTATAAACCAGGACAAGGGGGCTTTGTTTCTCTCTCACACCTGGCATTCTGTTTGAAGGAGTCGGACTGCAGAGGGCAAAGTCGTGACGCCTCTGGTTGCAGGAAGGCGGGGCCAAAAACTGTAAAAACTATACAAAAACAGCTGACAAGACCTGGCCAGTAAGTTTTGCCAGTGGTTGAAACTGTACGAAAAAAGGGGCATAAATCGTGACTGATTTTAACGTCAAATAAATCTTAAAAATGTGTTTAACTGGAGAGAACCTGGAGCCTCATTCAAAGGTCATTAACTAAGAGGAAGGTATTTTTGCTGTATTCAGATGTAGCCCATGTTCAGAATTTAGATTCCCAATAGTCTCCTGTCATGGCTATGTCTATCACACGCCCCCCCCAAAAAAAAAAAAAAGTCTCTGGATTTGCTCATGAATCGGTCCTGTTTTGGCTAGAGGAGATCCAGATTTTGAGAATTAATGAAAGTGGGTGCAGTGCAAACCTGAAGCCAGCTGTATGGGTGCAGGGTGGCACATTCGGTTACACAAACATTCTGAAGAGACTATTGCAAGACTCCCTTCCAAAAAAAAATAATGAATCAAAAATGTAGTGTTTCGGACGGTAATGATTGTGATAAATGATGACGATCGATGAGAAAATCAAAAAACTGAAATGAGTATGTGTGGTGATTAACCCTCGAGAGATCTACAACAGGGTATTCACCGTAAGCATCTTCTAAAAATAGACGAATAAAACATGAAGGTTTTGATGGATCAGAGACGACAGAAAGGTCCACAAGAGTTTTACGTCCTCTTAAAAGGTTCCCCGTCCAGCTGCGGGAATTAAGAGCAATGGTGGAGTTCAGTCAGTGGACCTTATTGGATGACATCACAAGGGGTCCCCCCCCCCACACGGTCCGTACCAGTCTGAAACAGTGTGACTCTAGACAAGGCCCACCACAAAAGAGGCAAAGTAGTGCAGGGATGAGGCTGTAGTTCACACAGAGCTCCACATTATTTGGGTCAAGCAACTGTTCCGTTAGTCACCACTGGAGGGCACTATGTTACGAGGAGTGTCTGCAGAACAAGGTGGTCAGAGGACGGACCTTCACTGACGCAGGGTCCGAGGCTAAGGCTGATTAAGACGGAATCCAGTGTAGACAAAAGCAGCGTGATCACAGCAGCGCTTTGACGAGGTACAGCTTTTCCCCCTGTTCACTGGTGAAGATGGGAGCCTTCTTGTAATGCTCTACGAGTTCTTCCATGGAGTTGAACCTGCGCTGGCCGATGCAATACACTCCCTCAGAGTGCTGCACTTTGAAGTGCTTGTTCTTGCCAGCCGCCTTCAGAGAGATTGAGAAATCATTGGGCTGCAACAGAAAAAACAGGACAAAAAGATCAGAACAGCATGAGAGTCCACCAGCAGGGGGCAGTGTGGACCAGGCTGCCAGATGATGACATGTACGATGTCGATGCATCTGATCAGCAAATTTCATAGAACTTTTCACTTCCAAAATCACATAAATACAACGTTTATAAATTCATTGTTTAAGCTCATTTTTGTAAAACCCTAAATTACAACAGCGGTTATCTCTGAGGACTTTACAAAGTTGTCAGTGCTGTCAACACAGATCAGTGAATCAAACAGGAAATTCAATGATAAAAAAACACATAGCTGTTGGTTCACATGGGGTGGATTTTACTCCTCCACAGTTTATGGAGTTTCTCCTGTTGTGCGTATATAATGTTTTGTGTATATAATATAACATAATATATTATAATATATCATATTATAAGACTTGATCTTTAGAAGATCAAGTTTGTTTTCTACAACTGTGGATGCAGCAATTAAGAGGTGCTTGAAGACAAACTGCTCTTTGCAATTCTCCACATTTTACAAATACTTTTAAATACGATTAAGATAATTTACAGACAAGTGACACAGCTTAAGGGGTGAACGATGTTGGGAAATGTGTGTGTGTGCGTCCCTGACTCACCGATGATTCACTGTCCCGTATGAGGAAGTCTCCCTCCTCCCCCTTCTCGTTGAGGATGCACTCTGCCTGGTGCCTGGTGACACCTCCGTAGTACCAGTCGTGTCCAGCAAACTTCCCTGAGCGAGCGGGGGCTATGTGGCGGCTCGGGGAGCCAGAGGTGGAGCAGGGGACCGGGGGCCGCTCCTCCAGCACCATCACATAGTTCTTAGGCACCAGTCCCACCAGGCCCAGCGAGTTCTTACACCTCCACCACTCTGGGTCATTGTCAGGCTTCTCTACCACCTCCATCACCTCCCCCTTCTCAAAGTTCAGCTCCTCCTCAGTCACCGAGCTGAAGGGGTACAGTGTTTGCACCAGGTGCAGCACGCGGCCTGCTGCTCGTCCGTTGGTAAGTAGTGTCCCTGGAGAGCTGAGGTATCCCTGGGACAGGTCCCCCTCCAGCGAGTCCTCCGCTGCCCCCGACTCCTCCTGCACATAGTTGGAGGGGAACCAGCCAACGCGGCCGCCCTGGCTGCCCCGCCACCAGCCGTCACTGCACTTCTCCATCACCACCACACGAGAGCCTTTGAGCAGCGTGAGCTCGTCATCGCGTTCTGCGGTGTAGGCGAACTTGACCAGCGCCGGGACGTTGAGGTCATAGATGCGCTCCGCAGCGCTGCCTCCTCCTCCGCTGCCGTTTGAAGGGTACTCTGCATCGGAGCTTGGCGTGGGGGACGTGTCTCTGGCACTGGTCTTTCTTTTGGTTTTCCCCAAACCTGCACAACACAAACAATACACAGACACTTGTCAATGTCAACCTTTTTTGTATAGTGTATTTAGAACATCACCCAAAGAAACACACACTAAAGACAAAAAAAAAAGTACAAATAGCAGCAGAAAATGCACAAATACATGTAAAAAATAAATACGTGATAAAAAGTCATGAAACTTTGTTTTGTATTGATATGACTAGGATATATTTGTTTTTATTGATATATTACACAATTAAAAACATTGAGCTAAAAATTCATTCTTCACTCATAGTACATACTGTATACTGTATGTACTATACTGGACCGGTATTGTTCGCCTACAGGCCCAACATCGGAGAGGACGCTGTAATCTACTTGCTGCAGCGGACGCTCTCCCACCTGGAGCCCGCCGGGAGCGCTGTGAGGGTCATGTTTTTTGACTTAACACCGCCACTGCTGCGGGAGAAGATGGAGGACGCGGGAGTAGACAGTAACCTTACTGCAGTGAGGTGAGTCTGAGGTGGTAGTCTGCAGTACTGGGGCCCCTCTAGGGGCCGTCCCCTCACGGTTTCTCTTCACCATCTACACTTCAGACTTCACATACGACACACACAGTTGCCACGTGCAGAAGTTCACCAACGTGTGTCTGAGGGGAAGGAACTGGAAAACTGGTCGGTTATCATGAACTTTGTTGACTTGTGTGAGCGCAACCACTTCGCTTCAACACCAGTAAGACCAGTACCACCAGTAATCGACTTGAGGAGAAAACCACTTTCCCACACGCCGCTGAACATCCAGGGGGAGGACATTGAGCTGGTGGACAGTTTCAAGTACCTGGGTGTTCACATTAACAATAAACTGGACTGGTCCCATAACACCGTGTGATCACTGCTAGAGTCATTTTTATTGTACATAATATATCTTGCACAAAAGAGACTATACTTTTAACCTTTTCTAACATGTTTGCACACTTCCTATCTATTTGCACAACCTAAGTGATTCCATCAATGCCAAAGGTGACATGTACATTTCTCCATTGTGAGATCAATAAAGTTTCTTATATGTGAGATATTTCACACAACTTTTTGCAATCCGAGAATACAACGTTGACCCCCGTTAGTATTTCTGGACTAAAACCAATACAAACAGTCTAAAACAGTAACATGCTCCTTTGAATTGTATTAGTGCCACAACAACGTTACGCAAACCACAAACTAGTGTCGTTAATGTATTTCTGTGCACGGATCTAATCGCACGGATAAAAATGAGGACAATTGCAGAAGACGGTACCAGGCCACCACAAGTCAGATGAATATAAAGATGAAAGATTTATCACAAGTCCTGTCTCCATCTGTCAAAACCATTCACACAAATCACATTATTACAATTCAATTCTGCTGTTTAGAATCGTCCCCGTAACAAGCGATTAGTGTTAGAACGATCATTTCTTTGCCCGCGTCTTGAACCCACAGCGTGCGGCACGTGCACAGGGCTAATAAATGCAGCTGCGATTTCCATGTAGGTCTTTGTTGACAGCTAATCAGCCGCTCTGTGTGGAGGAGCCCGCTGAAATGCCATAGAAATGTCACCCAGCTCAACAGAACATTTACATTGTTTGGTACAATGGCAGGGTTCACGCCGAGTGCCATGAAACTTGTTGGCAGCATTGAGAGGCGGAAGTGTGAATTAGACAAGCCTCCCCTTGGCACCAGTTTCTCTCACACACAGCACATCACAGGACACTGCTGACAAAGGACGAACGAGACGGGAATAACAATATTGTGTCAGGGGCAGATCTAATGCAACAGGCTAAATATGACTGACTCTCGTGACGGAGGAAAAAAGCAGTTCCGATGGAGAAAGCGAATATCCCGAAGTGTCAGCGGAGAGAGGAGACTGACTGAATTTCCCCTTCAGCGCTTTTGATGCACCTTCAGCTCATTACCACTTCAAGGCGTCAGGCGCTGGTGAGAGCAGAGAAGGGTGCCTCTCCTCCCACACACGCAGCCCCCAGAGAAGCAGAGAGTGAGGGTCTTAGGAGGCAACGCTGGAGCTGGAGCTGATGAAAGCACCGGTGGCTGTTGAGGAACACTACACTTCAGCCCACAGATATACAGTATGGAGTATTATATAGAGCTGTCAGAGTAAGAAAGCAGGTGTGACGTCTCAGACGGAAAAAGCATCATTACAATTGTCTTACAGTAGTTTTTAGAAGCATACAGAATCGATGCTCATGCAAACTCCATACAGAAAGGCCCTGTTCTGACTGAGATTCGAACCCAGGACCTTCTTACTGAGAAGCGAGAGTATATCCACTCAGCCGCTAGGTAGACCTGCACCAGGCAGGGAAGACTCACTCTGCAATAGGCAAGCAGCTAGGTGTGAAGAAATCAACTGTGGGAGCAATTATTAGAAAATGGAAGTCATACAAGAAAAATCCCAGAACCACACAGGGGGACCAAGTGAATGACCTGCAGAGAGCTGGGACCAAAGTAACAAAGTCTACCATCAGTAACACACTACGCCGCCAGGGACTCAAATCCTGCGGTGCCAGACTTGTCCCCTGCTTAAGTCAGTGCATGTCCAGGCCTGTCTGAAGTTTGCAAGAGTGCATTTGGATGATCCAGGAGAGTATTGGGAGATCTTCATATGGTAAGATGAAACCAGAACAACATTTTGGTAAAATCTCAACTCGCTGTGTTTGGAGGAGAAAGACAGTGAAGCATGGGGGTGGAAACATTATGATTTGGGGCCGTTTTTCTGTAAAGAGACCAGGAGGACTGATCTGTGTCAAGGAAAAAAATGAATGAGGCCATGTATCATGAGATTTTGAATGAAAACCTCCTTCCATCAGCAAGGGCATTGAAGATGAGACGTGGCTGGGTCTTCAGCATGACAATGATCCCAAACACACGGCAACGAAGGAGTGGCTTTGTAAAAAGCATTTCACGGTTCTGGAGTGGCTTCGCCCGTCTCCACATCAACCTCATAGAAAATGTTGGGAGGGAGTTGAAAATCTGTGTTGCCCATCAACATCTCCAAAACGTCACTGGTTTAGAGAAGATTTGCATGGAGGAATGGGCCAAAATACCAGGAACAGTGTGTGAAAACCATGTGAAGAATTACAGAAAACGTTTGTTATATGCCCTTGGTTGGCAATGACTGAGCTCAGTATTGAGATGAACTTTTGTTATTGACCAAATACTTATTTTCCACCATAATTTGCAAATAAATTGTCATAAAAATGTAAAAAAAAGTGGGAGAACAATTGATGGCTGACTAAATACTTTTTTGCCCCACTGTAGCAGTTTGTACACAAGACAACTCAATAAAAGTACAATAAAATACTGCACTTGTGGGTCACTCTGTTTGGTGTCCTCTTATGAACGTTTTTTCCCCTATAGTCCTTGAGGTTTCCGATGGTGCTCTTGCTTGTGTCCATTTTGCTCCGTTTAATGTTGAAAGTGTTATGTCTTCTGTGGTGAATGCAAATGTATGTGGTGCAAAGCATCTGAACTCCTGACCAAAGACCAACTTCTATGAGAGACAATAAAGGAGTATCTTGTCTCAAAGTGCTGAAAAATACAAGATAAAAAGAGCAAGCAGCATGTTACCAGCTTTCTTTGGTGCATGCGAGGAACTTTGGACAGCTGGTGTTGTTGTAAATGTGCTATGCAAATAAAGCGGACATTGACATTGAACAATCAAGCCTGTGACAATCTGTAAATGTGTGGAGCTGCCGTCTGTGTCGATGCCCGGTTGTCGTTGAAATGAAATACACCAGTGCGTTCATGCTCTGATACGTTCCCGTTTATCAAATTGTTACGTTTTAACCAATTTCATCTGCACCTGGGCTGCCCCCCATCAAGGTTTTTCCTTTCTTTTTTTCCCTACTGTTTTTTTTTCTCTTTTCTAAGAGTCGTTCCTTGCCGATGCAGAAAGGTCTAAGGACCAGGATGGAAGGACCGGGACATTTAGGAACATTTGATTAACATTTATGGACATTAGCCATCCGCCCCATGGACCAAAAGGGGCTGTTATTATGGCATTTACTGTGTTCAAACTAACTTTGTTGTTTGTCCACCGAGACAACTGCTGTTGTGATTCAGGGCTCTAAAAAATTAAATTGAAATGTCGTAATGCTTGAGGTATTTAATAGAATTTTTCCCATTGCCCTTGTGCTATCCTCGGGTCAGATTGACCCACCACAGTGATAAAAAAAATACGGAGCCGAAATATGATAATTTTTCCTAACTTTACCAGCACTGGGTTACGTAGACCCATTTAGAGTATTTTTCTTCTACTTTTAATCACCGTTTTTGGGTAATTTTGACTCAGACCACAAGGGTTAAACCTGCTGTATATGGCTATTACAGGCACATTAACAGTAATGATGATTCATGTGTACTGTCCCTATTCAAATACACCAAAATGGGTTTTTTTCTTTTTACTAGTCACATTAGTAATAGGTGTCAGGCCCCGTCATGTCTTCAAACTCTTATTATTGGGATGAAAAAATATATATGTTTGCAGCAGTTAATAAGTTCAATAAAGCCTTTTCTTTGCAGCTTTGATCCTGAACTCATTTCTAGGTTGAGTTGGTTCTTCTTCATATTTAAGCGAACACAAATCTAAAATTGAATACAAACCAAAGACAAACCGCTTAGACATCAAGCATTTTCAAGAGATAATGAAGTTGTACGAGAAAACCGTATGTCACAAACATTAAAACCGGAATTATATAAACAAACGGCGCTCATGTCAGATACTAAATGGGGATGAAGCATTAACGACGAGCGATTCCAAGCCCAGCCAAGGCCCATCACTAGACTTTTCCCGCTGATTAGATTTACCGAGAGCTTTTAACATAGACAGAGCTTGGGCTGGACGCACACTGCCTGAGAGTGAAATGGAACGAGGCCATAATGTTGCAGTCAATATGTAATATAGATGGGCCCAGGCGGAGAAACCATTATGCCAGCACCATTACGAGGCTCATTCTCCACTAATCAATCTCCCCGCGTCAAAGACGACGGAAACACGTGGGACAGAGAGTTATAATTGCCGTGTCACTGGGTCGGCTGTTTGTTTTGTATTACTTTATCATTTTTTACAAGTGTTTTGTGTGTACACTGGTTTAAAATACAAATCGGTTGTAATTAAAATGTATACGTTTTCATAAAAAAAAATTAAAATGTGTATAGCACCTCTATAAGTAACAAAGTATTTCACAAAAACCCAGACAACAGATTAAGATAAGACAACACATGTAATAATGTATAAAACAATGACAAACAAGTAAAATGTTAAAATGGCGCCGTGGCAAGAGCATTCAAGTGCCCTCAGAATTGGGAACTTTATCATCCATGAGAGGGGCAGAAACAGATAAGAGGCAGAGGAGAATCAAAAAAAATCGCCATGTTCAAAAACATTCCATAGCAGTCGTTTCGGAGTTAGGGCAGTTGCCAAAAAACAATTTAATAATATTGAGGTATCGCGTGCTAACTAAAAATGAGGCCGCTAAGTCTGAAGTCTGAATATAGCAATATTATCCATCATTAATCACAAAAATAAAAAAATCTGGGCCAAATTATTGTCAAGAAAAATGTGTTGTGATAGACCTAGATATTTAGCACAATATTTGTACAATACTCAATCGTTTGCCGTATACAAAAATCCACAGCTCTCCAACAGCAGCAGCAGCATCAGGGCCTACAGCTGGAAAAGTCCAAGTCCGGGTCCAGGCCTGTCAGTATCCACCATGGCTGTGTTCGCACTAGAGGCAATAGAGGTCAGATCACATTTGCTCATCGCAGAGTGAAGAGAGCAGGCTGTGAAAGAGGAGCCTTTTCACATCGCAGGCCACTTTCCGTTTTCTTGCACATTTCATTGCTGCAGACGTAAGAGCAGACGAAACCACTAATAACGTGGAGGTGAACAAGTCTGCATGAAATGACACGTGTTGTCACGGTGCAGGCAAATCCACAGCTCGAACTGGGACTTTAAACAAAAAGAAATGTTTGAGTCAAAAGTTGCCATGATCTCATTTCACTGTATTAGTGAACTGTTTACAATTTAAAAAGCGGTAGATTGACACATACGCCACCACTTCATGTTGATGTGTAAGGTTAGAATTATAGGTCAAAAAGATTTTCAAAATTTCCAACGTTTGTTGTCCCATGGCCAATTTCAATGATTTTCAAGGCTGATTTGTTATAATTTTTTTGGTTTTGATTCACATTGAAGAAGAGGAAAATGTGAACACAAATAAATCCAGTATTTTATTTGTGGAAGTTAAGTCTATAACATTTTGTGTCAAGGATTTTTTATTTATTATTACTTATATTGACTATGGCTTTTTGTTTGCAACGGGAAAATGAGGTGAAAATGTTGAAACTGAGCTGAACCAAAAGGTTAAGAAGGCCAGTTAGACCCGCCCACGGCACGCTCACACTCACAGCCTCCTGATTGGACAGAATTCATTAAAATCTTACTAGTAATAGTTATGGCAAGAGGAGGGAAAATCTTACATTTATAAGTCTTTGAAAAACATTTATAATATATAAGTAAATAAGGGTTACAAGGTATAATTTATGCCTAATTTTAACAATTAAATAAACAACAACCAGCCCGTTCATCTTTAATATAATCTGAAATGCGTCAACAAATTAGCCAATAAGCATGTTCTCACGACTTTGTTAAATATGATCCGTCTGCAGCTTTTTGTGAGTAATGTTGAACCAGAAATGACTAAATGGCACTTAGTTGTTATAGTTGAGGCGTAGACAGGACAGCTGCGACAGGAAATGAGAGGCATTCAACAACAGACAGAGCCCTAAACCACCTCCTCTGGTTAGAACAGCATCAGCCTTTTACGGACCCCATCAGTTCGTCCCTGAGTCGTACGTCCAGAGCTCTTTAGGGGCTACGGTTTACGACTGCAGGGAGCAGGAAGTGGGCGGATTTTTCCACTTTCTCTTATACACTTTGGGGACAGCGACAGCTCGTGACAGAGAGGCCCCTGACCCCCATGTTGAGACCATAGACTACTAACCCGCCCTCTCAATGAAGCCAAATAAGGAAGTGCTCACGGACAAGTTTTGCTCCATCTCCCTCTGGCTCCTTTTGACTTAATGCATGGAAAAGTAATCTCTCTAGCTCAGTAACCTTTTGTGACACACTTTTATTTTGATATTGCCTTTGAATCCAGATACAAGCCATTACGACAGACCAATCAGATGCCTTCATTAGCCGAGGAAACTCCAGCTTACCTTAGCAACCATACTAGCAACACGTTAATCAGCATATGCCCCTTTTACGCCGCAAAGCTAACCCCATCGTAACAAATACCCTTTAAAAGAAATTGGCTCCAGCTAGCCTATGTTCAAATTAGCTTCTTCTGCATTCTGCTAACACGATAGCCCGCTGCTATAGATGGATAGAATAATAATATACAGTCTATGGTTAAGACACTACTTACCAAACGTGTCCTTGATGTTCTTGACCAGCGAGTTGTTCTTCAGGCTGTTCTTGCGCTCCACGTAGTTGGAGGGGACGTATCCAGTTTGGTTGGACGCATTACGAACTCTCCACCAGGTCTTTGAGTCGTCGAGGAGGTGAAGGCGCTCGCTTTTCCGAATGTCAAGCTCCTGGTCCTGCTGGGCGATGTAGTCCCACTTGGCTACAACTATTACCTCCTCTGTCATCTTTCATGGAGTCCCCCTGTGGAGAAAGCAAAGAACGTAAATATCAACAGACGTAGTCACACCCATCTCCGCCGTTCAAACTAATGTGCTACAACTTTCGGCTTCTATGGGATATTTTCAAATTACACAATATGGCAAAAGAGTTTGAGGTGGAGACCTGAAGACAAATCCACAAAGTAATTTTAGCCACAAAATGTTTACACAAGGGGGTGTCGTGGTTCTCCAAATCCTCGATTCATTTTGGTTTTCGATTTTAAGGTCACGAATAAGGATAGAGTAGAGGATGGCATTTTCCCAGGTGTCAAAACAAAATCTTTGTGACTCCGGCGAATGTGTCCTGCCATGTTCGTAGTGTTTCCTGTGGCTGGGTATGGTACATGGCAAATACATAGCATATCTTAGCTAGACAATCCTCCCATCCATTTTGATGATGAAGACCATGACATATTTTTTTAAATCAAAATTGATCAAAATAAAAAAAACAAACGAAATCGTTACACCCCTAGTTAACACACTGGTGCTTAATAGAGAATCCAAATTATGTTCAAATACATGCTGACGGTATAATAAATAATATGGTTTTGGGCTGGGTGATGGAGAAAAAAAAAATCTCCATAACATTTTCTATATATACACGATATATATCTTGATATTTTAACAGGATAAATAACCCCTCAAAAACTGCTGGAAAAACAAATTTGCCAATTTCCAACGTTTATTTTTTTTGAACCTCAAATAATGAAGGAGAATTCTACTCCTACGTCCGTCAAAACGAAACCACGCAAAGCTCTAGTTTCAGTTTTCATTTTCGCTGCTGCCGTTAAAGCAGAATGATGTTGGGTCATTCTTTCCCATCTTTGCCGTGGCCTGAGGAGGATGTTGAGGAAGTGGTTCTACTGCTGAGCACAGGGACAGGACACCGGCTTGTGCCCAGAGTCAGAACTAAGCATGGGGAGGCTGCATTTTAGATTCATGCAGCTAGAACAATCTTCCTGAAAGTGTGAGATCAATCTACTGAACATTTTTAAATCCAGGTTAAAAACAGTTCTGTTCAGATGTGCATACAACCGAGGGATTTTTTTGTGTACTGTGATTATTCATGATTTTAATGCTATGTTGTTTTGTTCAGCAATTAAGAGTTGCCTTGTGTATGAATTAGGCTATGCAAGTTTATTTGTATAGCATAATTCCACTGCCCACTACTGGCCAGGCGCTAGAACTACATTGTCCTGTAAGCGCTGTGCATTTTTATTAAGAGCCTGGTCATATTTGCTAGAGACTATTTTTTTATGTTGCATGAAAAATATAACTCTGCAATTTACAGTTTGAGTGAATGTTGTGACCTGACAATAATTGATTTACCCAAACATCAGCTCAAGAACGTGGAAAAACTGGTGACTATAAGTGTCTACATTATCACCCCTAATTAGACTCTAGGGACAGATTATATTGTGCAAAAGAGTGACTAAAATCAAAGAATATTGGTTACTACAGTAAATACCCGACCGGTATCCGCCTTGCAACGTTCAACTTTCCCACATTCGTTCACGTCTTTGGGATTTCTTTGGTCAGATGTTCAATTACAACTTAATCCTCTTCTATCCAGTATGTATCATGTCAGAGATTATCCCTGTAGGCGGCACACGCCTCAGTCCGCAGTAAACAGCGTAACTCAGCTAAACACAAGTGTGTGGTTCATGGGATCTAAACTAATCTTTTCAAGGCAGTGGATTAGAGGAAATTTAATATCGCTTTAAATTTAGGATTTACCTTGTTAAAACTGTGCGAGCTCAACAACAGCTGTGAGTAAGAATACGTCTTCTACACAAGTAAAGATGGAGACAGGAGATAATTTAACATCTTGATCATTTATATTCCATTTGGTTAAAACGGATCATTTTCTTGCAATGGAGAAACTAAGGAGAGCAGACATTTATCCATTTGCTTAATAACTATAAAAGACTTGTGGTTTTTATCAGAAAAATAACTTCTGTAAAGTTTTAAGGAGAGACCACTGTTGTCTGCATTCATTTATTATTTTAAGAAAAACGTGACAGGAATGATCTGATTGTCAAGGCCCAGCCGCAGGGGTCCGTTTTGGGGAGCACAGGATTCCATCGCTGTGGTTTGTGGATCACGTCCTGTTGGCTGCAGACCATCCCAGAGCAGAGTGAGCATCTGGGATGAAAATCAGCCCAGATCTGAGGACATGGTCCTCGGCCGGAGCGAGAACTGCATGATTCCAACACGCAAAATCAATATTTTCCTTCATTTTGCATTCCCCCGCACACACAGGGCCTCTGTTTCGATTTGGAGACAGTGGTCGATTACATGCACTATTTCACAAAGCCTTAGGTGAGCTGGTCCCATAACACTTCAACAATATTCTCCAACTTGAAAACACACAATAAAAAAATCTATAAATGATTATGGGGAAGTGGGTATGAGGGATTTGGGGATTTTGAGTCGATAGAAACTTCAAGAAACCACTGCTGAGAATCTGGGAGGTATGAAAACCATCTGAGAAATCCAGTTTATATTTAGCACAGGGCCAAGAGTACAGCTGGAAATGAGATCACAGGAACAAATAAAAGGAAGTAGCAACAGGACAACTGAAACTGGGCTGTGAGAAGAGAAGGAAAGGATCTCGCTTTTGTGGCACGAAGGGTCTGAACCAAAGATGAGTTTATGGGACCACATTCAAACATGGCTATGTTGTAATGTAAACTGTACCCGACATGTTCTACACATTGTTCCACAAAAAGTCAACAGTAAATCATAGTAGAAAAATTGGGCCAGTGGGTTGTCCAGGACCCTTTAAAAAGAGGTTCTTAATCTCAATGGGGCTTTCCTGGTTCAATAATATAAAAAAATATTTAGCAATAACAACAAGACCGTAATCCGAGTAGGGTTGGGCGATACAACAACAACGATATATATGGCAACAGACATCTGATCAATATGTAAAGAAAATGGGGTCGATAGAATGTTTGATCATTTTAATTAACTCCTTATAAAAAAGAAAAGAAAGAAAAAGCAGAGCCAGAAGCACATTCTGAGAAATGCAACAGAAATGCAAAAAAACTGCAACAACGGCTGGCTAAAGAGGAGGAATGAATGCGGCATATGGATCCATTAAAACATGCAGCAGTTTGAGAGGAAATTTAAATTGTAGATAAAATAATAAAAGTATTTTAGGATTTTTAAAGTCTGACACGAGTCGGAACGATGCGGTCTGCAAACTCTGCAAGGATCATTGTCCCAACCAAGTCTGGGAACACCACAAACTCTATAGGTTTAAACAAAAAAACAAAAATTATCAATAGACTGATATGAAACACTTATATTGTGATATAATTTACAGCCATATCGCCCAGCCCTAAATTTGAGCCATTTCACAAACATGGAAAAGCCATAATTTGGAGACACCTGCTGCAGACCCCTCGATAAGAAGGCCACGAGCTGATCATTGACGTCCTGAAGAATTTAAGTAAAACAAGATTCTCTTCCATCCAGAGCACACACACACAATGTTTTAATGTATATCTACAAATCCAAAACAAATTAAATAACTCTCGATGATCAAGATTAAGATCAAACAACACTGATGAATGTTTGAGCTGTCCTTGTTCTTCAGAGCACAGTGTATACTATAGCCAACAGCTGCATTAAGAGCCATAGTTTTTCTTGGACATGTGTCTCGGCTTGCCGTCACTAAAGCTGTCAAACTGGATTTCCTCACCATCAGACAAGGACAGGACATGCATGGGATGAGGAACTGAACTTTCGCAAAGCAGTAGATTTTGAGTCTGAACATAAATCATCAATACGTCATGAGCCTCCCCCCACAAGCCCAAGTTGTGCAATATCCTAGAATCCAATAAAGTTTAGTTGATGTCAAAACTTTTTCAAAAACAAGGGAAAACTGTAGACGTAGAAGTAAATGTCAGAACGGTGAGCTCAGCAGCAGGTATGCGAGCTTCCCCTTCTGCACCAGCGCAGCCTGCTCTTATTGAATCCAAGCCTCCAGAGGAACATCACTGATGGATGGTGAACTACAGCCAGACTTATTGAAAAACACAGTTCAGTTTCCAGTCACTCTTTCACAGCTACGCTTCAGTCAGGGCTGCGTGATGTTGGAAAGAATAATATCCCCATTTTATTAAAAACCGAGATTTACTTTTTTTTTTTTTTAAAGACTTCCCTCTGATATTAAAGAATCAGTTAGGCAGATACCCTGATCAGGCGTTTCACTTGATTTAACACAACTATGTATTCTCTCATATGAACGCAGAATGTCACTTTTAAGGAGTTCATTGAAAGTTGAAAGTGAAAAAGCTTTGCTGTGAATTGAGGTTATTTTTATGCTCAAGTCTGGCAGATATCAGAAGCCCGAGTATCGGAAATGCAAACAAAAAAACTCTTTGAAAAAACTCTGACGTTCACAGTCTGACAAACAGGAGTTAAAAAAAAATAATAATTGAATAAAGAGAAAATGTATGACTCGAATGACAATTTTCATTAAACTATATTGTAAGGAAACCAAACAGAAGCTTAATAGTGAGACTATAATACCTGGTTACCACACATGCGAACACACACACACACACACACACACACACACACACACACACAAAATGGATTCACCAATTGAGTGGGAGGATCAAATACTACTGCACCATCAGCAGCAGAGGTTTGCCCTTATGCAGTTATAGTGTCTTCATCTAAATTGGCTGAGCCTCATAATAGCTCAAGTGCTTCATCTTGTGTCATCCATCGTACCAATTTCTCCGTCTCCTTGACAACCCTGCTCATTAAGCCAGGTGATGAAAACGCCACTCTAAATCAAGTCTATCCCTGTGTGGCCGTTCATGTAGAGCACCAGCCTGCCTCGCCCGCAGACACCAGCAAACTAACAACGTCCTGGAGGAGTGCTTACAGAGCCCAGGAGCAACTAGAAACTACAAGAAAACTTTTGTCCTCTTAAAATGATTCATGCG